ATAGGAGAGCTGGTCCATAGGAGAGCTGGTCCATAGGAGAGCTGGTCCATAGGAGAGCTGGTCCATACGGGCTGTTTGCAGGGTGTTGAGGATAGTGGCTCCTATTCAGTAACCATGGAGCAAAGGTGATAGCTGGATCCCTGCAGTTGGCCCCAGGGATACTAGAGTCTGGGTGTGAGTCTAGTTGGAGGTCAAATGACAGTCTCAGTTCGCCCCCATCATCTTCCTCCTCTGGTTCGGCTCTCTGAGAACCAGGGTAATAAAAGTCGTCCTCTTTTAGAAGAGGATTTGTAGCCTTCGGTTGATAAGGTGGAAGCCAAGCAGAGAGCAGCAGGATGGTGGCAAACTGGGATACAGGCTGGAGGAGCTCAGTGGTGCCGTTGGAGACGAACCCGCAGCCACAACAGCCGAAGAAGAAGAGTAAAAAAAGAAAATATAGATGTGCATTAATTCAATTCAATTCAGTTTATTTCTATAGCGCCAATTCACACCACACGGCATCTCAAGGCACTTTACAGTTCAACCATTAGTAAATAGAACAACAGTGAATTTTCTTAAGTTGTTCCTATTATTATATTATATTTTATTTTCTATTATGAGATGTTTTTATTTTTATTTTTGTTATTTTGAGCGCTCATAATTACTCCGGATCATTGTTTTCTCTTTTTATTTTGTTGCAACACTCGGTCTTCTTTCCTTAGTAAGACCTACCCTCAGCCTAGGAGAGGCCTACCTCGGTCAGTCTTTTGACTGCCTGTTTAATGTTATAACAATATTTTAGTTTTGTTTTTACCTTTAAATGAGTTTGTTAGTTTCTTCCTCTCTCAGTCTCCTGAAGTTATTGTCCTCCTGTAGAGATCGATCCACTCGGTTCATCAGAGTCCTCCTTCTCTTTAAATGGCCTATTTGAGGTAGAGTAAAAACCTAGATGGTTTTGGTGATCAGCCCTTCTTCTAGAATCCACCAAGCGGACAGATCAGCGAAGGATCCTGTTCTCGTGACGCCAAATTGTGTAAAAAGTAAAAATGAGCACTGAGAGTTGATAAGAGAGGAACATTTTTTTTTTATTTTACTCTGCAGAGGAGAACGACACAAACAGCTGAATCCAGCTCCCAGTGAGGCTCTGGCATGTTCAGCATCCCAGCCCTGCATATAAAGAGACTCCACACGCATCAACATTGATTCCTCAGTTCATCAACGACAAACATTTAGTCAGATAAACACTTCAGACAACTGTTTCCATCCATACCAGAAACGGGACGTCAGAACACTGAACACAGTGAAAACTTTTCCTTCTGATCTAAACTAGGGAGGAAACTTTCTTCTTCTCAGGTTTCTAAATAATCACCCGATTCAGGCAGAGAAAAACACCTTAAACATTTAATCTCACAAA